CTCCTAGGCAGGACCGAAGATCAGCAAACTTCATCCGCTGAGCAAACATTTCCAAAGGACCGACTATGCTTCAAGCACCCGGCTAGGTGTTAGTGGCATAAAGATGAATATATATAGTCCGTGCCTTTGAGGAGCTCTATTTGGGACAAATTGCATAATACAATATGGTTAAACACTGTAATAGAGAGAGGGATAAGTTGCTAAGGTGCCCAGATAAGAGCTGTGAATTCTGCGTGGATTGGGGGTCAGGAAAATCTACAAATACTTCAACAAGGATAGAAGTTTGAGAAAGGTATTCCATGCAGAGAGAGCAGAATACTGGAGTATCTTTCCTATATGTGGAATTTTAGGAGAATTTTGAATATTCTTATGGTCTAGAGCAGAAGTTGCAAATAGTGGCCCCTGGGCCATATTCAGACGGCAGGCATGTTGTGTTTGGCCTTCCTCTCTATCTATATTTTATTTAATTTCCCACATTAAAAAATTAGCAGATGGAACATGAATATTTCAATTTCTGGCTTTTCTTGAAATATTGAAAGAGCAGGCAAGATAAGTCCTGCATCCCCCCAGTCCCCCCAGTCAATCAGCTGGAACAAATCATCCCTCAGTGCCTTTAGATGAGTCTAGCTCATACGCTTCGTTCGTTCCTGTTACGTGCCTGGTCACAGTAGGAGCTGTTTTCAATCTTCTCTAGGAAGTAAGGTGTTTGCACGTAGGAGTGACTGAGGAGGAAAAGCTGCTGCTGAGGGCAGATCATGAAAGCTTTTGTGTGACAGACTAAGGTTTGCATAATGTCTTTAGCCTGTAAGGGGGGCTCCAGAGGCAGTGGAGGTAGCTAGGAGGTGGGGAGATGTTTCAAAAGTAGAAGCAATTAGATTTCGGGAGGGGAAGACAGTTTACAAATAACCGAGGCTGGATGACATCAACCCATTAGTTGAGAAGCTGAAGAAGTGGGTTTGGGGAGGATGAAAACAATTTTAGTTCATTGAGTTTGAGAAGCCTGGGGCTACCCAAATGGAGGTGTCCCATTAGCCACTGGATTGGTGGAGCTGGAGTCAGAAGAAATGACTGGAGTAGAGATACAGTTTAGCACCATATTTGTATGCAAATAATGCACACAGCGTATGTTTTTGCCAACTGAGCAACCCCCTTTCGCATTATTTTCCTAGGCGGTACGTGCGTTATATGTGTGGGTGCGTTATTTAGGTATGCAGGTTATTTGCAAAATATGGTAATTGAGCTCCTCTTTCAATATTGCTGGACTAAATAATTGAGCTGAAGACAACTACAAGGGCTGAAAGAAATATTTAAAAAAATCAAGGAACGAATAAGATAGTAGGGAATTACTGGTCTGAGAGATGAAAGGACAAGAAAACAAAGAGTTGAGCCCAGCAGTAGGGCGGTTTTTGCCCTTGGGTCATTTGCTGATCCAGAATTGGTGGCAGAAAATAGGCTGTGTGGGGCTGTTTTTGTTAGTACTTGCCTTCGAGTGGGTTTGACTCATGGCGATCCTATCTACAACTGAGCAAGAAGTTGCCCAGTCCTGCACCATTTTCATGATCCGTGGCGTTCTGGAATCCATTGTTGCAGCCACTGTGTATTTTGAGTGCCTTCCAACCCAGGGGAGTCATCTTCCAGCGCTGTATTAGAAAATATTCTGTTGGATCCATGAGATTTTCACTGGCTAATTTTCAGAAGTAGATTGCCAGGCCTTTCTTTCTAGTCCATCGTAGTCTGGAAGCTCCACTAAAACCTGGCCACCAGGGGTGACCCTGCTAGTGTTTGAAATACTGGTGACATAGCTTCCAGCATCACAGCAACACGAACGCCATCACAATATGACAAAGTGTCAGACAGGTGGTGAGGCTCGTGAGACAAAAATTGGAATGCAAATATCCCCAAAGGTGAGAACTCTGGTAAACTGCCTTCCTGTTTTGGGTTAGGACCCCGAAAGGCTGCACTCCTAGGGGAAATCTAGGAGTAGAGTTAACCAGAAGTAAATGGATTACCTTTGGGGAAACGGCCAGTGTTGTATTTCCAATAGTATGGCTCTTTGACTTTACATTAAAAGTTATATAATGATTCTTATTTCATTAAAGATGATCTTTTATTAAGCCTGTGAGTAGCCATCTAAGATACTCCACTGGTCTCACCCCTTCGGGAGCAAGGGAGACTGAAGAGAACAAGATACAAGGGAAAGATTAGTCCAAAGGACTAACGGACCACAGCTACCACGGCCTCCATCAGACTGAGTCCAGTACAACTAGATGGTGCCCAGCTACCACCACTGACTGCTCTGACGTGGATCACAGTAGAGGGTCCCGGACAGGGCCGGAGAAAAATGTAGAACAAAATTCTAACTCACAAAAAAAGACTAGACTTAGTGGCCTGACAGAAACTGTAGAAACCCTGAGAGTGTGGCCCCCAGACACTGTTTTAGCTCAGTACTGAAGTCACTCCCAAGACTCACCCTTCAGCCAAAGATTAGACAGCCCCATAAAACAGAATGAGACTAATGGGGTACGGCACATCAGCCCAGGGACAAGGACTAGAAAGCAGGAGGGGACAGGAAATCTGGTAATAGGGAACCCAAGGGCAAGAAGGGAGAGTGTTAACATGTCATGGGGTTGTTAACCAATGTCATAAAACAATATGTGTACTAACTGTTTAATGAGAAACTATTTGTTCTGTAAACCTTCATCTAAAGTA